AGATCTTTCTGTTTTCTGATGTCTTCATTTTCTTCAAGGATTTAAAGTTCTTGTCATAAAGGTTTTCCCACTTGTTTGGTTAAAGTTATTCCAAACTATTTTGTGGTGTTTATGGCTATGGTAAAGGATGATGTCTCTCATTTATCATATGTGTAGAAGAGGTGCATTTTGAGTTGTTTTCAGATTGTATATATGACAAAATAACTCTGCTGTGAACATAGTTGAGCACATGTCCTTATGGTATAGTTGAGCATCTTTTTGTATAGGCCAAAAACTGGTATTGCTGAGTTTTAAGGTAGATTGCTGCCTAATTTTCAGGAAAAATCGTCATACTAGAATAGAAAGTGGCTGTGCCAGTTTGTACTTCTACCAACATTGGAGGAATAAAACATCAGTCTACAATTTTTTTTTTTAAAAAAAAGGTCTTTATACAGCCAAAGTTGGATTTGCAGTCACTATGTAGCTAGGTTTACCTCCAACTCTTTATCTACCTGCCTCAGCTTTCCAAGTACTGAATTTCAGGCATGCACTACAACACCCAAGCTTAAAATGTAATCTTAATAGTACAGCTCCAAATACCCAACATACAAAAAAATATGATGAAGGAAATTAACAAATTTTGAACCTAGGTAAAAACACAGAAGTGTGTTTTTGATTCTTCCAACTTTTTCGTATGAATGAAAAAGTTTCACACATGTATTTTTGTAAAAGGTTTCGATTTTGCTATTTTTGTTAATGTTTTATGGGTAGTCCAAAAGAAAAGACCACTCAGACAGAGTTTTATAGGCAACTGAAAGTCTTTATTCCAGTTAGCTGGGACTATACTCAGGTATTTGGAAACCAAGTGCACTCCAAAGCATTTAAAGCAAGGAGCTGTTAAAAGCAAAAGCCACGTTCTTTTATATTGCTCAGCAGCTCAAGGGGAAGCTTTTGCTAAAACAGGCATTTTAACAGAAGCCAACAGAAGCAGTTAGTGGAGGGGAGGTTGACACATGCAAGCAGTTTAACAGCACCAAGATAAATTAGATGGGGAATCTTGAGCTACAGTTCCTAGAATAGAGATGGGAAGTTCCACAAAATTCTCCATCAGAAGTCAAATTTTCAGCGAGAATATGAGATGGAGGGACCTCTACACTGTCCTGCCCTGTCACAAATATATAGTTTAACTTAATGTCTGGACATGGAACATAAATGTAGGGTTTTAGCCTTTGAATTTTTTAACTCCTTTAAAATCATACTTCTTCATCAACAGCTGTATTTTTACTTAAGGAATGAATTCTCAATGAAAATCCCTTCATGTACCTTTTCATCCATGAGATTTTATACAGAATCAAGTTATTTAAAATTTAATAGTGGATAAATGCATGAGGCTTTACTAAACAGAATTACAATTACCTTGTAATATCAGTTACAGTAATTCCAACAAAAACACTGTAAAAGCTATTTTACAGAATATGAGCATGAACCAGATACTTTCAAGGATTTTATATCTTTTATAACCCTGATTCCACAACTTTGGCTGGAACTGTGCTCACTACTAACAAATTAGGCAGAAACAAAGTAAACACTGGGCCTACTATCACAGGAGCGATGGGATATAAATGGTGACAATGGAGGTGCCTCAAATAACCCTAGTTATAACTATTTTTCCTAAATTGGCTGAGTAATGTTTGGTGAATTAAGTTTATAAAATGAGACAAGAGTAAATCAAGAACATGATGGTTAACATAGACATTGTCAACAGAGTTATCACCTCTGAAGAACAGAGATTCCATGTTCTCATTCTCTAAGGGTTTCTCCTCATCAAGAACATACTCTGATGTTAACCAAAGCTTAGGGCAGAATCAAATTCTTCCCACATTCTTTTCACTCACAGTCTTGCCAATATGAGTTCTCTAATGTTTAGTAAAATTTCCATTTAAAGGCTTGTTAACCTTCCTTAGATGCAGGAGACTCCTGATGATGATGGATTTTCTGATATTGTGTAAGCTCATTGTTTACAATAAAGTTTTTCCCATATTCTTTACATTCACAGGGTTTCAGACCTATAAGGACTCTCTGATGAGGTTGAAGAGCTGAGATAATTCTATAAATGTTCCCACATTCCTTGCATTCAAAGGGTTTCACATCAGCATGGATTCTTTTCTGTTGAAGAAGGCCTGCACTTGAGTTGAGGTCCTTCCACATTCGTAAGAGTTTTGTGCCAGTATGAATTCTCCACTGTGTAGTAAAAGCTGAACTAAATCTAAATATTTCCATCATATATTATATTTATAGGGTTTCTCACCACTATAAACTCCCAAATTTCTTATATTCATGGGGTTTTCATCATAATGATCTCTCTAATATACAGCTATCTTAGAATTACTGAAGGCCTTCACATTTCTTAAAACATAAGGCTTCTTAATAGTATGAATTTTAGCATGTCAAACCAAGCTTGATTTTCACTAAAGGGCTTCCCACATTAACATTGGTAAAGTTTCTCACCAGTGTGAATTCTTAGATGTACTTTAAGGTCTTCACCATGAGTAAAGTACTCCCCCACATTGTGTACATTCACAAGGATTCTTGCCAGTATGAATTCTAAAATGTTTAAGAAATTGGTAATGATACTGAAAGGCTCCCCAGATTCCTAACACTGTAAGGTCTTTTTACCAGTATGGATTCTCTCATGAATTCTAAGAGCTGTACCACGAACAAAGCCCTTCCCACATTCCTTGCACTGAAAAGGTTTCACATCACTATGAATTCTCTGATGCTGGGTAAGTTGGTACTGAAGTCTGAAGGCTGACCCACACTGCTGACATTCAAATGATTTCTCTCCAGTATGAATACTTCGGTGCCGAGTGAGCTGTGACAGAACAGTGAAGGCCTTTCCACACTCCTTACACTGAAAGGGTCTCTCACCAGAGTGAATTTTCTGATGTTGCATGAGGTTTGAACGACGATTAAAGGTTTTCCCACACTCTTTACATTCATATGGCTTCACACCAGCATGAATTATCCTATGATCAACAAGGCTGGAGACATGCTTGAAGGACTTCCCGCATTCCTCACATTCAAAAGGTGTTTGAACTGTATGAATGGTTTTGTGGCAATTAAGCTGACTGGAAAAATGAAAAGTCTTTCCACATTCTTTACACTCAAAAGATCTTTCACCACTATGAAAACTCTGATGTCGAATGAGATGTATATTAAGTCTAAAGACTTTCCCACATTCCTTACACTCAAATGGTTTCTTTCCAGTGTGAATACTCTGATGTTCAGTAAAATTGGAACGTCGACGGAAGTGTTTCCCACACTCCTTGCACTGATATGGTCTCTCATCAGTATGGATTCTATGATGCTCACTAAGTTGGTTCTTTCGTCTGAAGGCTGACCCACACAGCTTGCACTTGAAAGGTTTCTCATCAGTGTGAGTTTTCTGATGCTCAGAGAGGTATACCTGAAGCCTAAAAGCCTTCCCACAGACACTACACTCAAAGGGTTTCTCACCAGTATGAATACTCTGATGTCGAACAAGATAATAACCACTAATAAATACCTTCCCACATTGCTGACATTCAAGTGATTTCTCTCCAGTATGAATGTTCTGGTGCTGAGTGAGCTGTATCAAAACAGTGAAGGCCTTTCCACATTCCTTACATTCATAGACTTTTTCTCTGTTGTGAGTAAGAGTCTGACAGGTGTAATTAGGCAGTTTTTCCTTGTTACTAATCTTTTGCTCAGCATCTCCTTCTTGATAACTCTGCAGTCCCTTGAATGTACTACAGTTGGGATCATTACTAAAACTGGAACCCTGGATGTCAAAAGATTTTTTTAATTGCTTTGTGCTTTGTTTGGGTAAATTCATATTTTCTGGAGATATATTTTCAGCTTCATAACTTGACTCTAAATCTGAAAGAAAAAAAGAAAAAAATATTTTATTTTCCTGTAACACATACATGCACACAAACATGCATATGTGTGCGCACACACACACACACACACAATATATTAAATGAATGGCCAGAATCTAAAATATTTTCTGATAAGCTCAACAGACACTGGGAGAGCAACAATAATGAAAGTTCACATAAGACAATACTCTTTATAGTAGAACAGGTTGGAAATGAGAAGGTATGCTTGCTTAAAGAGATTATAACTAACTATAGTGATATAATTTTATGTGGTTCTTTATATAGTACTGGAAATTCACACCCTTGTGTGAAGGTTTTTTAAGCTATGGAAATGTAACAGCCTGCGCTAACCAAATGACAATGTGTTATTGTCTGCTGGAAAATGTACTGCTCTACCCTGTTCATTAGTGTTCAGATGTGAGTAATAATTTACACAGGTCCCCTATGATGGCTAAAGAAACTTAATATGGAGACAGACATCCCTTAAGGGCCATTGACCTTTTGCTCTGGAGTACCTGGGGTCCTAGTGGCATGTAGGTAAGATAGTAATAAGATAACAGGATAATGGTATGTCAGTTATTAACACTTGACTTTGCTTCTGTAAAACCTGCTTAAAGGATGAAATGGTCTTTTTATTACTAAGTAGTAATATAGTATATATAGTCATATATATAGTAATAAACTCTAGTTTATTACTATTACTATATATAGTATATATGCTATATAGAAAAAACAACTGAGGGAAGTACAACAATGTTCCTGCCCAGCTGTGGATTCCATAAATAAATAGTTGTAATGTACACCTTTCTGATGTCTGCTTTAAAACCCCACCTTAACCACTCCTTGCATATAGTATGCTGTTTGGCTCTAAGGCTGCTGTCCTTCTGCTAGCAGTAGGAATAAATTAATTTAGTTTAAATTTGAATTCAATCTATATCTTTAGTCTTTCCCAGTGGATTCAAATGCCATAACAAACCAAATCATGAAAAAAAAAACTATACCACACAAATACGTAATATATGTCATGGTTTAAAAAACTGGTTTGGGGTTTTTTGTTGTTGTTGTTGTTTTTTGAGACGGGTGCTGTGAGCAACAAGCATTATACAATTATACAGTAAAAGTACAGCTGACAGATCACTAAACAAACTCATGGGAGTGTATTCCAATGAGAAACTCAAGTCACCGAGCCTCGGGTTTTAAAAATGCTGCAAGTTCATCAGTGGGCCTGGAGAGCAGATAGTCCCAGCCAGAGACGGCTGCTGGACCCCAAAGCAGTTGCTGGTCTCAGCAAGGCGAGCGGCTGGGCAGGCTGGACCTGCCATGCAGGTGGGTGTGAGCAGGCGGCAGGTAAGAAGGAAGGCACATGGGCACATACATGGTACAGAATAGAATTGGATATTTATTACTTAGAGGAGAGAGGAAAGTGTGGGGGAAGAGAAGAAGAGGAGAGAGACAGAGAAGGGCCAGAGAGAGAGAGAGAGAGAGAGAGAGAGANAGAGAGACGCGCGCACCAAGAGGGGACAGACAGAATCTAAGATGGCGGGAGGGGAGGGCAGGGGTCGCCAGGAGTGGGCGTGGCTCGCCTCTTAAAGAGACGAAAACCATAACATTGGGATCACCTGTCCTTTGAATAGTTGCTGTCAATTCTGTAGAAATCTAGTGAGGCCATGGCTTTTCCCCTTCCATAATGGAATTCATCCCAAAACATCCCAGCAGTGTATAAATCACTCTTTAAATATGACTTTTACTGTATTAGTAATTGGGTGATCTTGCCCCACACTGTGTGGCCCTGTTGTGAGAGCACTCACTAGGTAACTCCTTTGTTCTCACAGTCAGGTCTACATAAAGCTGATCCCCCACAATTAACCTTTTGACAGGACATCTGACAAGGAAGAGACCCTTGCTATGGACTACATGAAAACTTCAAAGGGACAGGCATTGAGCAGGGGAGATAGCATGTCTACCCTTACTGATTAACAGGGCTGGGTGGCCCTAAAATCTCCAACAGCCATCTCAGGAGAGTGTACCCTGCTGGCCTTTGCTCTAGCCTAACAAGTTATTAATATTCTGTACTTACCTTCATCTCAGTATCACTGACACAAAGCCTTAGTCTAGAAAATTAACTGTCTGTGCCTTTACCCACAGAAATACAGGAAAAAAGCTTAGATCACTAAACCAGCCCCAGAGAAAGGAATTCCTTCTCACCTGGGTGCCAGAAGACACTACAGTCCCACAGCACCCTGTTGCTAAGGGGGAGGGAGCAGCAGTGCCATCATCTTTCCTCCTGTGGTTTTATGCTGGTTGCCATGGCTGCCATGGCTACCACAAAAACACTGTGTTCCCAGCTGCCAGGGAAGGAAGCAGAAGTGCTCAGAAAGTGCAACAGCACTGATGCATTTTCCTCTACAATGATGGATCACAAGCTTCTAGCTTATCTAGTCACCCTAAGAAATGTAGTTAACACACACACACACACACACACACACACACACACACAAACCCTTTGTCTTCTTAGAATTCTGTACTGATTTAATCCTCCCGATATCTACAGGGGAGCTTCACACTCACGTCCCCTCTGTGACAGTGGTAAGACAACTAGTGCCTATTTTCTCCATATTGTTCGCCCTAAGGAATGAATGCTTGATATCATTATTATTTATTAGAGAACTGTTAACTATGTCTGCATGAGTACATAAACTGGAAACCTTGTGGGATTGGAGAGAACAAAAAAGAGGAACATCAAAAGAGAATAACAAGAAACATGAAGGGGAACATCAAGAGAGCATTTGGAGAGAGCATTGAAGAGCACATAGGAAGAATATGTAGAACTTGATAAAAAGACTTATGTGAGTTAATTTTTTTACCCTCAGACCATTTTAGTTTTCACCTTATGGCGTACCAATGTGGGGCTGACCAGATCTATTTAAAAGCCTGAGAGAGCTTGGGAACTTATTCTAGATTTAAAAAAGAATAGAGTTAAACATGGCTTCTTAATAGCAGCATTTTCTTGGATGGGCTCGGCTTGCTAACTGTCGTTTAAGAGAGGCTTCCTGATTCAATGCAAAACCTTTGCAGCCCTTTTAAGAGGCTCTGTCACAAAACACTTAAATGATGTTTATGAATAGTCTACATCATGCTTTTTGGTGGCATCATGGACTGTGAACTGCCATAGAGTTGTGGCAATAAACACAGTTCCAGCTGGTACCTCTGCCACAAGGCTGGAATCTCAGAAAGCTAAAGAATGGGCTGAATCCAGCAGTCAAAGCCATATTATAATCCTAGCCATATTCTATAGCAAATTAAAGACTCATATGATCAGAAAAAGAGAGATCCAAAGATGATGAAAACCTCTAAATGGTTTACAATGTGTTAAAAATATATGCAGGCTTTGGAGAGAAAAGAAAAAGGTTAAAGTCCTTAAAATAAAAAAGAAAGAAAGTAGTTGGGTGTGGTGGCACACACCTTTACTCCCAGCACTTGGGAAGCAGAGGCAGGCAGATCTCTGTGGATTCAAGAACAACCTGGTTTACAGAGTGAATTCCAGGATAGCCAAACATACAGAGGAACCCTGTCTCGAAAAGCCAAAAATTAAAAGTAAATAGAAAAGAAATAGAGTTTAAAATAAAACCATATAAAAATGGAAAATACACAGAATGTCTGGATACTGTACACTATTGTTTTGTCTTTGAATTGCCTGACTTCTGAGGATGGAACAACAGCTGCTACAATACATTTGATTATAAATGCTGCTGGATTAATCCAAGAAAGGTATTTTGAAAATACCTTGACTTCACAATTGAAGTCAAAAGGTATGTTACTTTAGAAGAGATTTTGCTTTTGTTTCCACAGGAAATTATTCATAGAATCTCATAGAGAAGCTATGGATTCATCCTAAGTTAAGAAAAATCAGGTTTGATCAAGGAAGACCACCTGAGAAATCTCCAGTAGGAACAGCTGGCCCAGATGTCTTGAACTCTACATCCAGAACAGATTCAAGACTGCTGCCTCAGATAGTCAAGCCTCAAAGGATACTCCAGTCATGACTTGATCATAATTTTAAATTTTCTTTAGGTCCTCATAAGATTATCAGCACCTCCAACCAGCAAGAAGTAGCCTGAAAAACTATGCCCACATTCCAAAAACATGGACTATGGATATTTTCCTTTGTTTAGAAAGTTGGTTACAAGTTGTTATGGATAATGGTCAAGAGAAAAGCTAAACAAAGGATATTAGATTCAGAGTTCTTGTTTGTTTTTTTTTAAGTGGGGGAATGCTATGGGACAATGGTTTGTACCCTGTCGATTGTATTTTAATAAAATGCTGATTGGCCAGTAGCCAGGCAGAAAGTATAGGCAGGACAACCAGGCAGGAAGCAGAGGCTGTGCAAAGAGAACAGGAGAATTCTGGGAAAAGGAAAGCTCATTCTGTCATTTTGACCCAGTCACAGAAGAAGCAAGATGTGACTGCCTTGCTGAATAAGGTACTGAGCCGTATGGCCAACACAGACATGAATAATGGGCTAGTATAAGTTATAAGAAATAGTTAAAAAGAAGTCTGAGCTACTAGGCCAGTCAGTTTATAACTAATATAGACCTCTGTGTGATTTCTTTGGGACTTAACAACTGCAGGAACTGAGCAGGACAGAAACCTCAGACAACAACCTTCTATAGCGGTCCTTCTGAATCCTAAGAGGTTTAAGGGGGGTTGGTGCCTCAACATAAATCTCAATGGACAGGGTTTCTCGGTAGCTCTGGATGTCCTGGAACTTGTTCTGGAGACCAAGCTTGTATAGCTACTATGGAAATCCATGTGTTGGTTCCTCAGGAAGATGAGAATCAATCTACCTCAAGAACCAGCTATACCACTCTAAAGCATATACCCAAAAGACAGTTCATCCTACCAGAGGCACTAGATCAACCATGTTTATTGTTGGCTCTATTCATAATAGCCAGAAATTGGAAACCACCCAGATATCCATCAATAGAAGAATGAATAATGAAAATGTGGTACATTTATACTATGAAGTATTACTCAGTTCATAAAAAATTAAATCATGAAACTTGCAGATAAAAGGATGGAACTATAAAAATATAATCCTGAGTGAGGTATCCCAGACTCAGAAAGACAAATATGGTATGTATTTGTAGATATTGGCAGTTAAATCAATGATACCCAAGCTACAAGTTACAGAACTACAGGTATTAGGTATAGAGGAAAATACTGAGGGAACATATAGATCTCATTACAAAAAGGAAACAGAACAGATAATCACAGATGAATAGAAGGTGGCCTGCAATGGAAAGATCAAGTGAAGAATACAGGGGAAGGGAGAAAATACAGGGAAAGTCAGCTAAAATCAAGAGCCATTTGAGAAGGTAGTATGGAAACTTAATACAACAGAATCTTTTTCCTTAAATATATACATATATGAAGGTAATATAACTGAAATTCCAAAGAATGGGGGGAGAGAGACCCACCTGACCATCTCAGCACCATTGTTTGATTACATTTAATCAAGTTGTTGGCCGAAGGTGCACCATGGAAATCTTCAAACAACCCAAACCACTGCCAGGACTGTAAGTTGTTCTCCACAAAAAGACAGCAAGGCCCACTGCTAAAGACAACACTTATTCAATTCACTGAACATAGAGAAGTCAAACTGGTGCCTACATAGAGCCTTCACCCTCTTTTCTCGTGTCTTTGGTTCAGTGTTGTCGAATAATTTCTTTGTGAAAGCTGAACATGCAGTAGCTAGGCAGGGCAGAGAGGATGATGAGGAGACACCAAGAAACATGAGGGAATATAGAGCAAGTAGGATGGGCACTACAGAGATAAGCAATAAAGACATGAGACAGAAAGTAAATTCAAAGAAATAGGCTCATTTAAGTTGTAAGAGCTGGTTAGAAACAAGCATAAGCTACTGGTTGAGCTTTCAAAATTAATAAGAAGTCTCTGTGTGGTTATTTGGGAGCTGGCAGATGGGAAAGAGGAAAACTCACTACAAATTATGTCAAACATACAAACATAGGCTCTGAGAAAGCAAAAAAAAAAAGTCTGGACAAAGCCAGATGTAGCTTCCTAGTCCTAAAGTCTCTCAGGTAGGCTAGTTCTCAGTGATGTACAGAAACATATCTACCAATCACTGCCTGGAGGCTGGAGTCAGCCACCAGTGCCATGTGCTGCACAGCATGCAATCAGAGAATGCTAGAGAGGCTCAGTAAAGATAATCCAAATGGAAAAAAGACTCTAAACAGGTTATAGTGTGTGTTTAAAAAAATGTCCACAGCATAAAAAGAAAAAGGGTATGGACAGTCATAGAAAAAATTGTTTATAAATAAGATAAAGTATAAAGAAGAAAATAATATAAAAAGAATAAGCCATGTAGAGATGGGAAATACACAAGGGGTCTGGATCATATATGGTGTTATATTGATTTTAAATTGTTTGATTACTGATGAGAAAACGATAGCTGCGCAGAGGCACTGAATTATAAAAACCACTAAATTAAACCAATCTGTATATTTTTAAAATGTCTTTACTTCAAAATGGAAGTCAAAAATATGTTACATCGGGGAAGAGGTTATGCCTTTGTTTATACAGAAAATGAAAGGCTGTGGATTCTTTCTTGATAGAGATCAGATTTGATCAGGGGAGACTCACTGACAATTCTGGATACAGACATAAAAAAAAACTAGAAAAACTACAAGACAGGTGACATATATTTCACCTACTCAAAAAAAATCATCTTTGGCTGGTTTGTGTACAACACACAATCCATACTTGTGCTAATGCTTCAAGGCTGCTGGTTGAGACTATTCAAGCCAGAACTTGACCATCATCCTAATTTTTGCAGAGTCCCCCAGAAATACCAATGCCATCAGACAACAAGAAGCAACCTAGAGAATGCATAAGTACAATGGAAGGTTTTTGGCCAATTGGTGGGTTATGAATACTTGTCATTGTTTGGAGGGGTTGGTTACAAGCTGAAATGGTCAGGGAAAAAAAGTTGAACAAAGAAAATTAGATTCAGGGAACTTGTTATGAAAAGAAAAGGGGGGATAAAAAATTACAAGAGAAAATGCAAGCTGGTACAGCCCCTTTAGATGTCAGTGTGATGATTTCTCAGAAAATTAGGAAACAGCCTTCCTCAAGACCCAGTAATACCACTTTTGGGTATATATTCAAAGGATGCCGAATTGTGTCACAAGGACATGTGCTAAACTATGATCAGAACACCATTATTTGTCATATCCAGAAACTAGAAACAACCTAAATGGCCCTTGACTGAAGAATGGATAAAGAAAATATGGGGCATTTACACAATGGAGTACTACACAGCAGAAAAAAATAACGACATCTTGAAATTTGCAGACAAATGGATGGAGTAGAAAACATTATTTTGAGTGAGATAACCATATACAGAAAGACAATTGTCACATGCACTCACTCATAAGTGATTTTTAAACATAAAGCAAAGAAAACCAGCCCATAAATCACAATCCCAGAGAACCTAGACAACAATGAGGACCCTAAGAGAGACATACATAGATATAATCTACATGGGAAGTAGAAAAAGACAAGGTCTCCTGAGTAAATTGGGAGCATGGAAACCTTGGGAGAGGGATGAAGGGAAGAAAAAGAGGAAGGGAGGGGAGTAGAAAAAAAAAGTAGAGCTCAATAAAAACAATAATAATAATTTAAAAATTACAAGAGAAAATAACAGATAATTGGATCTACTTTAAACTAAAGCAACTATCAGTCTCTAACATTTTACTTTGGTATGGATTTCTGTATACTGATGAAAATTTAAGGTTATTTTTGTTATACTATATAAATGTTTCTACTCTTGCTTAAGATATTTTGTGTATTTGATAAAAATTTAAGGTTATTTTTGTTATGCTTTACATATGCTTCTATTCTTATTTAAGGTATTATAACTGTGTGCTCATTTAAAAATGTAAAGTTTTAGTCCTTGAAAGCTACTTAGGGTAATAAACACAGGTTAATAGTCAACTATAATTATCAAACTTTTAGTCATGTTAGGTATGCTTTCAACATCATACAGAGATATAGTTTAGATAGGTGATTTTAAAATATTTCAAAGATCTACAGAATATGGCATTTAAAATGTTTTAATAACATATGATGTTTCTTGACAGTGAGAAATGTTTGTTCCTTGCAGTACCAATCTACTTCATGAAAGGACTATGGGCATAGAAGAACTTCCAAATGGAGTTTGCTTTCTTTGTACAAAAGCTAGATAGTTGAGCAAGAAACTGCCCTTGCTTCAACTGCTGACAACATCCTATTCATATTGAACAAGCAAGAAACAAAAGAGCAACTGCCAAACTTTGCCAAGATAGAGTAGGAGAGTCTTTCAAAATTCCTGCTTCACAGAAAAGTCTATCAGATATTTTAGGCCCAATGTACAGAGGAACCTGGGGTGAAAGTCCAGACATCCAGCTGTTCTTTCATTTCTTATTGTTTTGGAAGTTGCTTGTTCTACACTTCCTGTTTACTCAGGTAATATATACTTCCCAGGTCTTTAATGGTGTTGTAAACTAGACAGCTATAGTTAAAGTTTTCGTGAGTCATGACAGAAAGTAAATTAGTACAAAACTCTGGATTCATCAAAGAAGAATAGTAAATAAAGTATTTTCTCTGAATTGGCTGAATACAATGGACAAACACTTTGAATGTAATTCTTACTTGATAATTATTCTTGTTATATATACTTTCATTTTGTTGAAGTTAATATCTTTCCATTCTGTTTAGACAAAACCTGATACCTGTTCTTATTGTATATCATTTTACTATACTATGATAGAGTTAAAAACCTTAACTTTTTAGACAAAAAAGGGGGAAATGTTGTTAAATAATCTTTTTGTACACTGTGAATATTTGTCACTCAGATGGGTTTAATAAAAAGCTAAACTGTCAGCTTTTTATTTTATCTACATATAGATATACATAAAGGTAAAATAAAAAGCTAGGAGAGATTTTTAGGACAGAGAGGACACTGAGAAGAAAATGAAGATGCCAAGAGAAGTAAGGAGATGCAGAGCAAGCAAGCTGGGCACTACAGAGATGAAGTGATAAAGACATGAGGCAGAAAGTAAATTAATAGAAATGGGTCAATATCAGTTAACAGCTAGTTAGAAACAAGCCTAAGCTATCAGTCAAGCTTTCATAAATAATAAGTCTCCATGTAGTTATTTGGGAGCTGGCACAGGACAGAAAAAGACTCGCTACAGTATAGGAAGATGTTCTGCACACTAATAAACTAGGAACAGCAGGACATGGTGGTGGACACCTTTAGTCCCAGCAGTTGGAGGCAGAGGCAGGTGGATCTCTAAGTTTGAGGCCAGTCTGGTCTACAAAGTGAGTTCCAGGACAGCCAAGGCTACACAAAGAAATCCTGTCTCAAAAAAAAAAAAAAAAAAAAAGGAAAAAAAAAAAAGAATGTCCTGCCTGAAACATATGCTAGGGCCATGGTAACACAAAGCTTGTGGGAGTAACCAACCAATATATGATTTGACTTAAGGGTCTTTCCATGAGCTAGAACCCATTCCCAACGCTGGATGACTGACAAAGACCTGGGACTAAACAGCCAAGGGATCTAGAGTAAAATCAAATACTACTGTTCTAAAAAACAAAAACAAAGCAATAAAATAGAGCCTAATAGCATTCTGCTATACTTATAGATCAGTGCCTTGCTCAGACATCATAAGAGAAACTTCCTTCTGCAGTAACTAAGAACAAAAACAGAGAACCACAGCCAAATACTATGTACAGAATGAGGGACCTTAGGATAGTCAGCCCTAAAAAGGATGTTTCTATCAAATCCCTCCCTTCACAGCTCAGGGAACCCTGTAAAAGAGGAGGTGGAAAGAAACAATGTAAAATCAGAGGGGATGGAAGACACCAAGAAAATAAGACCCTCCATGTCAAAATGATCAATGTTCTTTTGATCTCACAGAGACTGAGGCAGCATGCACAAGGCCTGCACCACCCAGCCTGCACCAGGTCCTGTGCATAAACTGAATGTGGCTTCCTGTTTAGTGTGCACATGGGATTCATGAGTGTGTAAACAATGGGGTCTCTATTTCTTGTGCCTTCTCTTGGGCTCTATTCCTCTGGTTTTGTTGTTGTTGTTGGAGTCCAATGTGTCAGTTTTTGTTTTAACATATTGTACCATATTATATTGTCCCTTAGAAGCATGTTTGTTTTCTAAAGACAGAGAGAAAGGGAGTAGATCCAGAGGGAAGGGGATGAAGGGAGAAACAGGGAGGATCAGAGGGAAGACAATCAATAATAAGGATATATTATATAGGGAAAATTATTCTCCATATATATATATATATATATATATATGGACAAAAATAAGACTAAGGAAACCTAATAATAAATAAACTCAAGAAGTTTGACATGGAAATGTCCAGAAAACTAAAATCAAACAAAAATGTCAATAATCAAAATGGGAAAAACCATAAAGAAAAATTACTTCCAGTAGTCCTCCTGAGATAATAATTTTCTTAGGATGACAGTAACAGGTTGTTTACATTACCGAGAACTAATGGAAGGTTGTTAGTGGATAATATCCTGCCAGCAGATACAAGAAATCCTTAGAATATTAGTGGCTTACGTTCAAACAGTCCAACAAAATGTTTTAAACATGCAGTTGTAGACATAAACACAGCACACAAAGACAAATATTATCAATTAGTATACTTAGGTAATATTTTAAGCTGTTCTAATGGGGGGATTGCTGCTGTAATTTGGCTGGGTTTATTATTTTTTGTTTTTAGTGATTCACTTATTTTCATTTTATGTGTTTCTGAGAGTGTCTCCATGTATGTATGTGTACCATTTGCTTGCCTGGTCCCCAAGGAAGCCAAAAGAGAACCTCAGGTCCTTTGGAATGGACCTATAGGTAGTTGAAAGCCTCCACATGGGTTAGAGAAACGATGTGGATATTAGAAATGAAACCTGGGTCCTCTGTTGTTGTCCGTGGTTTCTGTCCTGCCCGGTTCCCGCAGTTGTTAAGTACCAAAGAAATCACACAGAGTTCAACATTAGTTATAAAACTGATTGGCCCATTGGCTCAGGCTTATTATTAACTCTTATAATGCATATTAGCCGATTATACTTGTCTATGTTAGCCACATAGCTCAGTACCTTTTTCAGCGAGGCATTCACATCTTGCTTCTTCTGTGGCTGGGCCAGGACTGTGAACCAAGCTTTCCCCTTCCCAGAATTATCCTGTTCTCATTGACCCACCTCTACTTCCTGCCTGATTGTCCCACCTATACTTCCTGCCTGGCTTCTGACCAATCAGCATTTATTAAAAATGTAATTGACAGAATACAGGCCACTGTCCCACACCACTCTGTACCATCAGCAAGTGCTCTAATGACTATACCATCTCTCCAGTCCCTCTATGTTTTGAGATGGTCTCATGTCACCTAGGCTGCCCTCAAACTCAGTATGTAACAGAGGACAACCTTAAAGTTCTGATCTTCCGGCTTCCACCTCCCAAACCCTGGAATTACAGATATGTGCCCTGTATTAATCAGGGTTCTCTAGAGGAACAGAACTGTTCATTCTACATTTACAGAATTTATGCGAGTGGGTGATGGGCTGACACCCAGCTAGTCCAACAATGGGTGTCTAACAGCAGAAAGTCCAAGAATCCAGCAGCTGTTCACTCCACAATGCATGTCTCCGCTGATGTGCAGTCCATGCTAGGTTCTGAAGAAGTAGGCTCTCATGCCAATGAAGGAAAGGACTTGCCAGCAGAGTGAGGGGAAGCAGACAAGAATTTCCTTCTTCCACATCCATTTGACAGGATGCCACCAAAAGGCATGGCCCAGATTTAAGGTAGGTCTTACCTCCTCAAAAGATCTGGATTAAAGGTGGGTCTTCCTACTTCAAATGACTTAACTAAGAAAAATCTCTCACAGGTGTACCCAGATGTTTGGATTTTGGTTAATTCCAGATGTAGTCAAGTTGACAACCAAAAAGAGACATCACAGCCCCCATGCCCAGCTATGTAGAAGGCTGTGTTGTGTGTGTGCTCACATGTTGTTTCACTGGCTTGTCCATCTACTCTTTTGGAGTCGGGGTCTCTCTTTTACTTGGAGCTTGCCAAGTAAACTAGACTAAATGTTAGCAAGACAAGGGATCTGCCTTTTCCACATCTTCAGTGCAATAATAAAAAGCAAAGGCTACGACCATCATACTTTGTTTAGAGAGACTGTGAAGACCTGCAATTAACATATTTAGTATTCCTCACTACGTTACTGCATTTACTTGTGTTCAAATTGTCTTATCATTGGGTCAGTGGCTAAGAACACTGACTGCTCTTTTGGAGGACCTGGGTTTGATAGCAGTTATAGTATTGACCTGTAACTCCAGTCCCAGGCGATCTGACACTCCCTTACGGCCTCTTTGTGTGACCTGTAGACACACACACACACACACACACACACACACACACACACACACACACAAATAGATTTAAAATGATAGAAAAAGGGTAACTGCTCCAGTACGAGGGAAGAGGGGAGAACAACTTAGACTCATGAACAAGCAGCCCCTGTGGCAGCTTTTGCTATGACCTTGACTTCCTTCCCAGGTCTCAGGCACGTTCTTCCACAGGCCCTGGCACTCTGAAGGGAGTGTGTCAACCCCGGGTCAGGCGTGGGGACCTCTCCGACCACACGCTGAGATGGCAATGCTGCAGCCCTGCCTTCCTCTTACTCACCTGGGCTGGGCCTGTCTGCTTCTTCTGTCACAGCCATCCAGGGCTCTCTCTCCTGCTCCAGTAAGGTGATCAGATCGGGTTTGGAAATGGAACTTCCCACTTAAAGAAAGAAAAAAATTACACATGTGGAGACTTTCTTTTTTGAGAGATGGGCTCTCCAATTATCCCAGGATGTCCTGGAACTCAATATGTAGACCAGGCTGTCCTGGAACTTCCTTAATCAGCCTGCCTTTATCTCCCAAATGCTGGGATTATGGGTGTGTGCAAACACAAACTACCTGTAAAGATTTTTAAAAATACAGGTGTATTTATTATACAGTATTAAAATACAGTATTTATTATAAAAAAAATACATACAGAAGCCAGGCGGTGGTGGCACACACCTTTAAGCCCAGCACTCGGGAGGCAGAGGCAGGCGGATCGCTGTGAATTCGAGGCCAGCCTGGTCTACAAGAGCTAGTTCCAGGACAGGAACCAAAAACTACAGAAAAACCCTGTCTCGGAAAATCCAAAAGAAAAAAAAAAATACATACAGGCTGACATGGTGGATCATCCTGTAAACTCAGCAGGTAGAAGAATGAGCCAGGCCAGTCTGTGCTGTATAACAAGACCCATCTTACAAAAACAGATTTAAAAAATGATTAAAGAAGCCAAATAATGCTGAGAAAAGACTTAAGAAAAAGAAGCAACCTCAGTGAGAAACCAAGTGTTTCAGAAAAGAGTTTATATAAATGCAGATCAGGGATTGCCACTTAAGAGGAAAGTATAATTTAGTGTGTGGGGAGATCATGAACCCTTAGGCTGCACTGTTGATAGAGAAGTAAACCCCATCTCTACAGCTCAGTAATAATGCCATTTATTGGGCAAGTCCCACCAGATTCTATGCTCAATGTTTCCATCTAAAAACTGGGCATAGTGGCATACAAATGTAATCACAACACTTGGGAAGGTGAGAAGTTCAAGTGTAAACAGAGCCTTTGGTCCTGCCCAGTCCCTCAGCTGATTTTAAAATAACCACTCAGACACTTATTTATAAATGTTTAGCCTACGGCTCAGACTTATTACTAGCTAGCACTTACATATAAATTAACCCATATTTCTTATCTATGCTTTATCACATGCTTTGTGGCTTGTTACCTTATTTTTTTTTACATGTATTGCTTCCTCGGGAGCTGACTGGCATCTTCCTCAACTCTGTCATTCTTTCTCCCTGTATTCCTGCTTGGATTTCCTGCCTCACTATATCCTGCCTTGACACAGGCCAAAACACCTTTATTTATCAACCAACGAGAGCAACACATATTCTCAGCATGTAAAAAGTCCCACAGCATTTCCCCTTTTCTGTCTAATGAAAAAGGGAGATTTTAACTTTAACATAGTAATATTACATATAACAAAATAGTTATCAAGCTAGAATTATAGTTATGATGTTTACTCTATTTACGTTTGGCAAAATTAAAGAAAATACTCCATCATCTAGTCTATCTTTATGAATCTAGTTTTGTATCTAATTTATCTTTTATTGTAACTAAGGAAAACTATAATTATAATTATCTACTCTTCAACTCCATCAAAGACCCCAGAAGGATATAATACTACCTGAGTAAACAGGAGTGCATTGCAAACAACTTCCAAAACGCTAGAAATGACAAAGGCATCTGGCTACCTGGACAGTCACTGAAATATCTTCTGTAATATTGGGGCATCCATCCTCAGCCTACAGGCCTAGAGTATCTGGCAGACTTTTTCAGTGAAACAGGAAATTTGAAGGACACTCCCACCTCTATTGGCAAAGCTTGCCAGTCCCTTTTCTCTGGGTCCTGAAGAATGTCTGGCAGTTTCTTCTGTGAAGCAGGAGCCTGAAGGACCATCCTGCCTTGTTTTGGCAATGATTAGCTGTCATTTTCCCCTGGGTTCTGCATGTCCAGTTTATGCAGAGTACTGTCAAGCAGTCCAGGTAAAAGCAGTTTCTTGCCCAAAAGGCTAGCCTTGCCACACTGAAGGCAAATTCCATAATGAGTTTCTTCAATGCCCTTCACACTCTTTGAAGTAATTGGTGCTGTCAGGAGCATACATGTCTCACTGTTGAGAAAAGTTCCTAAAACATTTTAAATGCCATATTCTGTAGGTCTTTGAAGTGTTCAAGGATTACTAATTGAAATATATTTTTTTATATCTAAAAAAAACCTAACTAATATGGCTTTAAATTTGACTATTATAGATGACTATTAATCCGTAATTTTCCATCAGGTGCATGAACATAATACCTTAAATAAGAGTAGAAATACGCATACAGTATAACAAAACTGATTTTAAATTTATAGCAATAAACTAAAAATCCATACCAATGTAAAGTATTTTGAGAGTAACAGTTGCTCTTTGGACTAAAGTAGATTCAATGATCACCCCTTTTTTTGTCATAATAATTTACCCATTTCCCCATCACTCAATCAATCAAGACCAGGTTTAGTTTTATAGCGAGTCCAAAGTCCCCTAGGCTACATGAGACATAGCTGCAAAGAAATAAATTAATAATAATAATAAATGACAAATAAAAATTTAGATTGAGTTGATAATATCTATTAGATAGGGTTGATCAAAGTATTATAGTCAAATATTTTGAACACTGTCTGACCTATACTAACGTAGGATCACTAGCGTTTTAATCTTTATTTGTTTGTTTGTTTGTTTGTTTATTTATGTTGTGTGTTAGGGATGGAACAGCTACATCCCTAGCCATGAAAAGTGTTGGCATTATTGTGATTTAAGTTGCCTTCTTTCGATTTACACTCATTCTTACAGATATGATTAATGAAACAAACAAATTCATAGCCTGAAACATCTACAACAAAGCAAGTAAAGGAAGTATTCCTTGATGGAAATAGAATGGTTCCACTTCTGTTTTAAATTGACTCTACGGATTCATCATTAAGTAAATTCATAAAGGTTCTTATATTTAGCTCTATATACCTGCATGTACAGTATATGTTTTTATGAGGGTGTGTGCACAAGTGTGTGTAGGCATACACACGTGTATGTGTGTATGTAGGACAGAGAGTAGTGTGATGTATCATCTGCATAACTCCCCACTTTGTTTTTTGAGACAGAGTCTCTCTCTGAGCCAGAGCTCACTGAGAGGATCTCCAAGGTATGAACAAAAAGCAGGTACCTCATGAAGCTCCTGTTTTCAACCAAAGAGATTCACATTATTCCTTTGAGAAAAAGGAGAAACTCAGCCACTTCTTTAAAATTCTATTGAAATAAATATATTTTATGCAAATGTGAGTGTATGTATGAGCACCACATAAGTGCATGGTGCCCATGAAGGACAGAAGAGGGCATCAGATGCCCTGACCTGGAGTTAGAGCTGGTTTAGTGCTACCTTATCCTGGTGGGAATAAACTCAGGCCCTCTGCAAGAGCAACCAGTTTGCTTAATGGTCAAGTTATCTCCCTAGTTTCTAATTATATTTTTTGATTTCTTTACTTTTTTATTTAATTTTGTTTCTTTGTTTTGTTTGAAATAGGGTCTCACCCTGTTGATTAGGCTAGCCCGGAAATAATGATGGTCTTACCCACTGTGAAGAGGTTTCTGTAAGTCTCCAACATCATGTCCCTGTATAAGACCCTCTGAGCAGCATCCAGGCAGGCCCACTCCTCCTGAGAGAAGACAACAGCCACATCCCTAAATGTCACTGACCCCTGAAACCACAAACACAAGTAGAGTGAGATTGGGGAAGCGTTCAAGATGGAGAAAGAGAAGGGAAAGGACTCAAGGGTGGGAGGAGCCACATGGAGATGCTCAAGGCACCTGACTGCACGAGCTCCCCCAGGAAAGGAGGACTGTGGCCTACACATCCAATAGAGGTGCCCTTCCATTCCATCCCCCTACACATCCAATAGAGGTGCCTTCCATTCCATCCCCTACACATCCAATAGAGGTGCGCTTCTATTCCATCCACAGCCTTCCAGTTACAGCACAAAAGAGAACTGTCACCAGGCTCAGTGTAAACACCTAAGACACAGTGTGAGTCCCTGGGTTTCTTGTGGCATCAGGAGATAGCAAAAGACTTTTTGTTACAAGAATGATTTTTATAAATTATTTCAGAGTCCATAAACTACATAAGAATCCATACTACTGGCATATTAGGTTTAAGAGGTTTTTTCGTAAAAACAAAAACAAGAACTTTCAAGATGGCACATGTGTCTCAGGTCTCCCTGAACTCTGAAGACTACAGTCCCGTCCCAATCACAGCCTGGAGGACCTTCCCTCTCATCCCTGAACCCTCTCTTAAAGTCCCTCAAGCAGGTCATCTCGTCACACACATGCACAGAGGCCATTCACTCTCAAACCCTGTGTCATCAGCCTGAAAACACCAAAGATGTCAATCAGGATCCCCAGTGTACTCAAAGGAGACCATCACCACAACAGTCTGAAACCCCAAAGACCCTGATTCCCTGTGGGACTGTGGCCCCTCTGCAACCACAGTCCTCCCTGACCACAGGCAGGAGAGAGCAGGTGTGCAGGAACACACTCAGAGAAAACTGCAGGAGCAGCCGGAAACAGGCCAGACAGGAAGTGCTCTGACCTCCCAACCCTCACTGTAACAGGGCAGACAGGGCTGGAGGATTTCGGGTCCTTGGGAAGCTTCACAAGAGAAAGACAGCAAAGAGTCATCTAACCTGGAAGCCGCCTGTGTAGAGAGAGAACGTCAACTTACACAGACCACGTCCTGAGACCCAGAGCTGGCCATTCTTCTTCAGGATCCTCCCTGGGGACAGAAAGAAAGCCTTTCACTGGACTGTCACGTGATGTCCACACTGACTATGACACCATGGTTTCCTTCTCAAGCATCCCCACTCACACTCCTGCCCCACGGCTCATGGCCTCCCACAGGCCATAACCATAAATAAAGTGCAGGAAGTCCTGCCGGATGTGGTAGCATGGCTATACATTGCCAGCACTGGGGAGACAGAGGCAAGAGGCTTGCTCACATTCCAGGCCAGCCTGGCCCAATGGGTTCCACACTAGCCTCTGCAGTCAGTGGCGCTGGTCAGATTCAATGTTAACATGCAATAGATTGACACCAGACCTTCAGTCACACCACATGCAAAGTCAACTCAAACCAGACTAAAATTTAAAGACAAAACTGACACTACTAGGGGGGGGAAAAAGCAGAGGAAAGCCTCCATGACACCAGACGTATTAGGTATTACTGTAAAAACACAAGTAACAAGCAAAATGGACAGATGGGATTTACATTTGACTGAAAACTTCACACGGCAGAGGAAACCATCAACAGAGTAGAGGGATAACTTAGATAATGGGAAAGAATACTTGCAAATTACACACCTGACATGGAGTTAACATCTAAACTGTGACAGTGACTTCATAAGGAATGCAGACAATTCAGCGACAAGGACACATACTAGTTAAGAAAGAAGCAAACATACAAATATAGACATTTCCCCACACGGAACATAAAAACGGCCTACTGGAGGGACATGAAAAATAAGCATCAGAGAGACAGACGTTAAAATCACAGCGAGTGGCCTCCTCGTGCCTGGTAAGAGTGTCAGTTACCAGAGGGCAGGAGGGAGAGCCCAGTGTTTTTAGAGTACTTTATGCTCAGGCAGAGGACCCAGGTTTGATTTCCAGTACCTACATGGTGGCTCATAAGCATCCCTAACTCCAATTTCAGGGGGTCTGACACTCTCTTCTGGCTGCCTCAGGTACATGTATTCAAGACAAACAAAAGTATAAAAAAAAAGTGAAGTAAGTAAATCTTTTTAAAAACAGCGTCCACTATCAAAAAGCAAACATCGTGTAGAGAACATCGAGGAACAAGCACATTACTGAGGAGATGTAAATTAATACAGTCATTGTTCTCAAGCAATTACGAAGAGGATTGTCACGTGATCCATCATTACCTTACCATGACTGAGTAGAGAGACACAGAAAAACTCAGTATCTGCAAGGGACGTTTACATCCCCAAACTTATTCCAGCATTCTTTACCTGGTCATGATATGAAACCACACACACACTAAATAAATGGAGAAAACAAATCTAGAATGAGGTTCACGGGCACAGTGGAATGCTGTACAACCATTTACAATATGGTGAGCATGGAGGAAAACGAGAGAAATGAGCTAAAGACAAAAAGAAATGCTGGGGCTGGAGAGAAGGCTCAGCGGCTGACAGCTGGTTTGGCTTTTCCAGAGGTCAGGAGTTCAGTTCCCAGACAGATCCCGATGCCTGTAACTCCAGCTCCTGTAGATCCTAACCATCTGGTCTCTGCGGGCACTCCAGCGCAGAATTCTGGGTAAAAATAATTAATCTTTAAAAAAAAAACCCACCATCTCACTCATGAAAACTAACCTTTAAACAAAAAGACAAAGCCCACCATCTCCATGCAGAACCTGAAACCGTTATCTCACAGGACCAGGTACGATGGCAGGTAACGGGGTGTGAGTGGCTGAGGCTGCATGTGCAACACCGTGGTTGAGAGTGGGAGATGCCGACCCGGAAGGCAGTCGGGAAGACGCTGACCAAGGACTACACAATTTCAGCGACACAACACAAGTTCCAGATACCTCAAGCAGCACAGTGACTATGACAAGGGGTTTTGAAAAACTCGGAGAGTAGACATTCAGTGTGCTCACTACAAAAATGTGACAGGCAGATTTAGTCATCCCCAAGGACACGAAGACTCCAAATGACCACGCTGTACACAATACGAGACATTTCATCTAAAAAAAAAAACTGTTCTACGTTAGTTCATTTTGTTTTCCTTGTTATTGGTTTTGAGACCCGGTTTACTGTGTAGTCCAGCTAGGCTAGAACTGACTGTACAGCTAAAATGACCATCAAATACAGACATTCACCTGCTTTTGCCTCTCAGGTCCTCATTTTAAGTGTACACCACAAAGCTTACCTTTTATTAGTCATTTTCATAAAAACACAGTCAGCAAAGCCATTATTTCTAACACGCCCTCGTACTGCAGAAAACTGAAGAGAATGAACTCAAACGACCACAGAGAGCGACAACTAAACACATTGGGTCCTTACTCTGCGGCTGGCACTGCACCAACAGGCTTTACAGCTGTCATTCGGAGGCACATGACAAGCCTAGGGACCCCGAGAAAGGCAGAACCAAGACTCTGAGATTCCACAGTGCCGCATCCCCACAAGTTCAACCACAGCACTGCACATCTGGACCTGGCCAATGCTACCCATTTTCATACACAGACATCCTAAAATTACTACTTTTTTAAAAAATCCTTTCAAAGATGCCAAATTAAGCAGAAATCGCCTATCACCTCCATTGTGCCCCTGATTTGAAAAGAAAGCCTTTAAAGATCAAAGGACACAGGACGTGTGATACCATTCGAGCAGTAATTGAGTGACTATATCTGGGTTTCAAAGCCCTAACGCTAACCTCTGGAGCTGACCTTTCTACAACATCTTGGGGGAATGGAGTGATTGTAGAGAGCTGTCAAGGGTCTCCCGAAACGATCACGTGACTATTGAGTGGAAAGGGAGGGGACGATGTAAGGGGCACAGTGGTGGAGGCATCAATTTACATATTCCTACCTCACTTACTGACAACTCTATATTCTAAAACTAAAGCCTCGTTTCTCAAAAAGAAAGAAAGCGCAGACTCATTCTTGAATCTTAGTTGTGTGGCAATAAAGCACGCACTCTTCTCCAAGCCTTGGGGGGCGTCTCCGGCCTCAAATGCGCGCCCCGAGCTCAAGTCTGGACCTCAGGGGCAGCTCCCATTCAGACTCCGTCCCTGACCTCTCATCGCTGCAGCCTGGTCCTCTGCTTCAGCCGCTGTGGTCGTGAGAGAAAGCAGGAGTACAACCGACTGGCAGAGTGACACGGACAATCGGAGAGCTCGAGGTGTGTAAACACGCACACACGCATGCATATAGACAGGCACACCACGGTCCCTATACAGTCACACACATCACCATTCACCCACCGCGCACCACCGTCCACACCCACACCGAGACCGCAGGCTCCGCCTTACTCAGTGGAGAATTACATCACAGATTTCTGCCACCTACCAGAAAGCTCTAACAAGACAGAGGAAGTTAATATTTTACTTCCGGCGCACTGGCCCCTGGGAAATAGAGTCCCGGTGACCAAAAATTCAAGCCTAGCGCTCTATAGTTCAGAGAAATCCCAGCACGCAACTTGAGCTGCCCATCTGGGGACTGCGCCCACTGGTTTGTCGGAGTTCCCGCGGGGTGCGCCGAAAGGGAAAGCCCTCTGGCGTAGTGGTACGCGCCTTGAATCCCAGCCCTGGGTGGGGGAGAGGAGCAGAAGCAGGAGGATGTCTGGGACTTCGAGACCAGCCTGGTCTACAGAGCTTCAAGACAGCTAAGACTACACAGAGAAACCTGACTCGAAAAACCAAAGAGAAAGAAAAGAAAAAGTTACCTCTGGGTTCTGCGTGTAACTTACTTTCTCTCCTATGTAGTGTACAGAGGAGCCTGTTTGTTTGTTTGAAAGCTTTATTATGTTACAGCATCTGCCTTCATGTATACCTACACACCAGAATAGGGCACCAGATCTCATTACAGATGGTTGTGAGCCACCATGTGGTTGCTGGGAATTGATCTCGGTACTTCCAGACGAGTTGCCAGTGCTCTTAACCTCTGAACCATCTCTCCAGCCCGAGCATACGTTTTAAAGCGCAGACTTGGAATAAAATCAGATCAAGACATAACTGCTTTGATTATGCTTTGCCTGAGACCCACTCCACAAGGGAGTCCACCTCCCTGTGATGTGGTAGGGACTATGATGACTTTGAAAAGACTGAACTAAAGAATTGGTTGGTTTGGGGTTTGTTGTTTGTTAAGTTGGTTGGTTTGGATTTTTTTGTTTGGTTTTGTTTGGTGTGGTTTGGTTTTTTAAGACAGAATTTCTTTGTGTAACACTGGCTGTCCTGGGACTCACTCTGTAGCCCAAGCTGCCCTCAAACTCAAAGATCCAACTTCCTTTGCCTCCGCCAACTGACAGTGAATTGGTTGGTTTCAAATGTGCAGAGGAAGGCCAGGTTACATCAGAGATTTCAGAGAGCCAGATGTCCCGAACCCTTCTAAGGTTTGGTGTTCCTGTTGTCTATATAAGAAAATGTGGCTGGGGGCCACATTGATAGGTATCCACAGAACTGTGTCCACTGGACAGTCATGTACCCCATGTTGAAGGATGGCTGACTAGCACATGAATGTACCCTAAACATCGTTCATTATCTTTGTTGTAACATACTAGTGGACTTTCAAAATGACTTTTTGCCGTTTCTTATATTTACACAAAACTTTTTTTCATTCCAGAACGTGATTGTAGGGTAAAAAGGACCAGTGATGGAGCAAACACAGAAAAGCACCAGGGCATTGTCGACTGCACAGCATTTCAGCTCTGAATGCTGTCAGAATCAAAATGGAGACAGTGAAACATTGATGGAACCAAGGGTGTCTTGAAGGGAGGGCTTTCATCCTCACACAACAAAAATGGTTCCTAGACGCCTTTGAAGTCCACAATGGTACTCAAGGCCCACATGACCTTACACACGAAAGATGCTTCTGTGATACATCTGTTGGTTCCGTTTCTCTAACTACAGGATGATGTCATTTTGTCATTGCTTCTTGTAGCCAAGAATGTTCCAAAACCACTTCTCTTTCCTACAAGTCACCTTTACAAACCCTTGCTTCCCTGACCTCCCCGAATTATCAGGTGCTCTATTGTACATCTTCTGTATTGCATCCTCTGATCGCCCCCAAATTGTTTTAAGACATATACTCTCAGGCGGGCGGTGGTGGCGCACACCTTTAATCCCAGCACTCGGGAGGCAAAGGCAGGCGGATCTCTGTGAGTTTGAGGTCAGCCTGGTCTACAAGAGCTAGTTCCAGGACAGGAACCAAAAGCTACGGCGAAACCCTGTCTTAAAAAAAAAAAAAGACATATACTCTCTCGGTTTTTAGTACCTCACTTGGTCTCATGTTTATGCAACACTCTTCCCAATGACAGAATTCTTACATGCGGGGAATGTTTATTGACATAGCTATGCTCTGAGCCATAAAACAAGTCTCCATAAAAAAAAAATACACAACATGTTGCTTGACAAATGGAATTAATAATGAAGGATGGATGGCTATATAATAATGAATTAATTTTCTTCTTCTTAGGAAAAAATAGCTGAAAAAAGAACTGAAAGTAGAAAATGTTTGGTTTTGCTCTTGCTTCTAGGGTTCAGTCCAACACACTGAAAGGGACCCATGCTGGGGAGAGGTGCAGCTGATGGTCACACTGTCTGCAGCAGCAGGGACCCATGCTAGGGAGAGGTGCAGCTGATGGTCACAATGTCTGCAGTAGCAGGCAGAGTGACATGCTCACTTTCAGACAGCTTTTGCTCTTTTTTTTTTTCATTGTTTACTTTTGGGGGGATTTTGTTTGGTGGTTTTTTTGTTTTTGATCTTTGAGGCATGGTTTCTTTATGTAGCCCTGACTGTTCTGGAACTCCTTTTGTAAACCAGTCTGGCCTCAAACTCACAGAAATGCACCTGCCTCTGGCACCCAAGTGTGGAGATAAAGGTGTGCCACCACACCAAGCTAGCTCTCTTCTTTTCATCTAGTCTAGGATCCTGCTGTCAAAGTGTGCCTTGTCTCCACAGCTCAATTAGCCTTCATAGATAATCCTTAGATACAAGTCCACAGGCTAATTTATCTCAATGATCCCTCAAAGTCATGGCTAGAGAGAGGTTCATCTTCTAGGTGTATCTGGAGCCTCCAAAGTTGACAGTATCACAAATGCATTATCTAAGTGTTTAAATAGGGTTTCCACCATGACCATGGAAACTCTTTTTTTTTAAGATTTTATTTATATATTAAGCATACAATGTACTGCTGGCAAGGAAGGCACCAGGTCTCATTACAGATGGTTGTGAGCTACCATGTGGTTGCTGGGAATTGAACTCGGGACCTCTGGAAGAGCAACCAGTGCTCTTACCATCTGAGCCATCTCTCCAGCCCCCATGAAAACTCTTATAAAGACAAACATTTAATTGAGGTGTCTTGCATTTTCAGTGGTTTAGTCCATTATTGTCGTGGTGGGAAGCATGGCGGTGTGCAGGCAGACATGGAGCTGAAGGAGGAGCTGAGAGTTCTCCATCTGGATCAGCTGGCAGCAGGAGAAACTGTGTGCTATATTGGGCATAGACTGAGCATAGGAGAACTCAAAGTCCACGCCCACAGTGACACACTTCCTCCAACAAAGCCACACCTTGTAATAGTGCCACTCCTTATAAGAACCATTTTTTCAAACCACTACACTAAGATACTAGAAATTTGAAAGTGTATGAGTACTAAAATAACTGAAATTATATAATGTTTGAATCATCCCTTTGTGGGATATCATTATCTGTTATACTCCAAAGCATAAAAATAAGATGTGTGAATATTGTCAGACCAAAATAAAGTCACTTACGTCAGACGCTGGGCAGCTGGAACCTATAGTATGGAGATAGTAGCCCTGTGTCGAGCAATCCCTCCACTCCCCTCCACCTTCCTGACAGATCCCCACTTCACATCCTCTCTTCTGGGTCCATTCTGTGTGATAGAGGTACCCCTCTCCACAATGAAGCTTGATTTCCATTCTTCTGTGTAGATCTTATATGGGTTTTTTGTTGTTGTTGTTGTTGTTTGTTTGGGTTGGGTTGCTTTGGTTTGTTGTTTGTTTTGTTTTTTGAGGCAAGATTTCTCTGTGTGGCCCTGGCTATCCTGGATCCTGCTCAGTAGACCAGGTTGCTCTGTATTTCATAAATCTGCTCCCTCTGTTTCTCAAATGCTAGGATCAAAGTCGTGCACCACAATCCGGCTGTATCTTATGTTTTAAATAATGTCAGACATCAAGCTAATGAATATAAAGTATGCCTGCTATAATTAATGAGCCAGAGTGACTTCCTTTCCTTACCATCAGTGCTGAGCTCTCTGTAAATTCCATGAAGTTTTGGGTGGCCTCTGAGAACAGCATTTACTGAGTGAATGCTGTTTACCCTCCCTTTCATTTTCCATGTGTATGTATGTACTGTGTATGTTTACATGTGTGGAGAGTGGTGTGCAAGCAGTGTAATGGTCTGTCCTGTCCCTTTAAGAGACAAGCCCTG